TACAAAGTAACAACTCCAACTGTATCAAGTCTTTTTCTGTGAAAGAGGAGAGAAGCTTGTACCGAACCATTTGCACCAAATCCAGCATGAATGCATAATTTAACATATGGTGATGAAGCCACCAAACATATGCACATTAAAGATTGGTGTGGCGGCTTTTTTAAAGTGCAGGCTTAAAGTGCATCGATGAGTATAAACACCCAATATGCAGCTTTATTTGTAGAAAGGCATCGGTGGATACTGCTCAGACATGTTTTTGGTGCTGGTGCAGGTGTGATCAATAATATTAATTAGCAGCTGCACTTTAATTAACGTAGTTTCTGGGTTCTGATTGCGTGCCTGCTGGCTCTCTCTGCAATTATATAATGAGAATTTATAAAGCTGAGCAGAAGCTGTAGTTTGAACCTGCTACAGCCAGACAACATAACACGCTGCACTCACTTTTTTAGCCATACGCATAAACATAAGCATGCATGTTTCACTAACATAAATACATACAGATCCAGAAGAAAGGACGTTAAGAATGTTAGCATTATTTTTGGACTTTGGCTCGCTATATTTTGCGCTTCACTTGACACTGTGTTGCAAATGACTGAGATCGCATCATGAAGGGATTGCTCAGTTGTTTTCATACTAGCATGAGGCTGAATTAGCATCACTTTTATAGCCCTCTTACTGAAAGCGGCATTACCCAAGGCCAAAATTGTGAGATGTTGCTCTTAGCTTACTTTTAATATCCTCTGTTATTTTTTAACTTCTACTGCACTTTTTTTTTCATATCTTTTACTTGGCCTGTGTTTGTCTTTTATACATATATGATATTGTACAGGACTTTGGTTAGCCCTTTATAAATAAGTGATTTTTAAATAAAGTGTATGGTATGGTATGGCCTTAGCTTGAAGTATGATGGTTAAGCATGTTCCTTTGTGTTCTGGAAGTCTTTGTAATGACAGTAGACTGACAAATGTGGAAACTGTGGAGAATTAATGTTTATATTAAACATGTTTCTCATAATCTATCTATTTTTAGATGGATGTCAACTTTTTTAGAATATACTTCTCTGTATAAAGAGCATGCATCATAATGAGTTTGAGACCGCTGGTGTAGATCACAAATCATATGTGGGCGTGGCCTGAGCTGAACCTAAAGAGTCAGTACCTTCTTTGTTAAATGAAACTGTTGCCAGCAAATTAAAAATCAGAAATATCTCATTTTTTAAAAGTATGTTATATTTAGTTTTGCACCAACCTAACTACCAAATTTACAGCCTCACCTCTAAAGCAATTATTAGCCATTTTTACCCCTCAGCTGTAAAAGGTTGACGGGGTATTGTTGTCAGCCGGCCAGGCGGGCAGATGGTCGGTGGGTGGTGTGGACAAGTTTGTGAATCCGATAACTTGAGAATTAAACAATGTAGGATTTTCAACTTTATACCAAAGGTGCATCTTCTAGGAGGCTGAGGGGTAGCACAGGCTCGCGTCAGTATTTTTAGAAATACTTTTGAAAGATATGAGATTCAAAGTGTGTTCCTTTATTGTTTTTTTGTTTTGTTTTGTTTTATTTCTTACAGTTTTATATGAATAAAAGCAACACAGTGGTGAGGTGGTTATCACTGTTGGCTCACAGCAAGAAGTATTCAGATCCACTGATCACCTGGCGTCTTTCTGGTGTGGAGTTTGCACGAGTGGGCTCACTAAGTTCTTGCAAACATATCCGTCTTAGGTTAACTCATGATTCTCAACTGGCCATAGGTTTGAATTTTGGCATGAATGGGTGTCTGCCTTTCTGTTTTTGGGTGTAGCCTGCCTTTCACCATGACAGCCCAAATAGCCTCCAGCACATGAACTGGATGAGTTCAATAGATTGATGTGAAGAAAAGGTGGCAGTGATCATTTGTGCAGAAAATTGGAGAAAAATGTCTGAGGATTCTAAGAGCTGTGAAAAAGAACAACAATCTGACCACAAATTGAAAACTGTACCCATGCTAGAAACATATACCAATACATCTAATGTCTCATCTGCATCTGCAAAGGCAATATATAAAATTTCGATTTCTATGCAAAAAAATAAAATAAGAATAATCTAGGCACAGCGTGATGGTTAAACTAAGTGTATGCTGACCGCAACCAAAAAGCCACAGTTTGATTTACAACTCGTAACAAAAGGAAGGATCAACTTGTAGTATCATAACGAAATGCACTGTGCTGTTTGTGCAGTCAACTTTGAGGTTATACTTAAATACATAACACAAAAGAAATGAAAAAGTAATATAATATCTGGAACAAATTAACTTCTATGGGTAATACGTTAAAAAATAAGCATAAAAGTAACACTCCAAACATTTGGTTACATGCTGAAATAAGAAGGGTTAAAAAAAAAAAAGTCTGTAACTTAATAGCATAAGTCATTTTAACTTAAGCAGACTGGAAAGCCTTAGCAGGAATATTACATTTGACAGGCTCATGAAAGCACTTTGACTGAACTTCTTAACCTAAGTTGGCAGAAGATGTCATCTCTTAGTTTGATAAAGGCTTTGCAGCTGGTTGCCTTATTCGCCGTTTTTGTAAGGTTTTTTTTTTTTTTCATTTAGTATGCAGACATTTACTCGAGATTTCAAGAAATACACTTAAATCCACAATGCTGTGGTGAATTTTTATTTTTTTTTAATGCCTCATTCTCCTGGTCTTCCCTGGCCTCTAATCCTCCCGTCTTTCATCCATTCAGAATAATTACAAAATATTGGATGTTAGGTGAGTAATTCTTCATCTGTCACTATTTCTATTCTTCACTGTCTGTCCCACTCGTTTAGTTAGTCACACACAGGATCGCTCACTCGCTCTGTAAAAAAGGCATACAAACACACACCTACAGCAGCCATTATGGATGACTAATGATGTGACACTAGCAGTGGTGTTGCAGTGTAGTATGACACAGTGGTTCATATCCAAGCAACTCAAATCCCAAATGACCAAGAGAAGCTAATGCTGTGCACATGAGACGCAATCAGGAGAATACATAATGGCTTTAATGTTATGAAATTAGCTTTTTCCATATATTCAGATGATCTCTAAGCCCACGTGGAACAAAACTGTATAGCTGCTCACTACCTTTAAGTCCATGTGGCTAAAAAATAAATAAATAAAAGCTCCATTTCCTTTGAGTTTTTTTGTGTGCAATATTAAATCGTACTGGTTGCTGGAGCACAACTGAGAAACTGGAAACAGATTTAGTATCTCCATCTGTGCATATCACTGTCCCCTGCACATCTCCAACTGCAGGAACTGCTGCCAAATCACGCCACAGATTGGCTAAGTGCGATAGTTCGGCTAACCGATGGCTTTAGCTGCTCTTATCTAAATCCATAGACATCAAAGAAGATCTGTATTTCGGAAAATAGTGTGAACCGGACCCTGCATCCCTAAGAATCATATTACCCAGAAGTTTCATCACTGCTGCAGTGACTACGGAGAAGATTTTTCCCACTAGCTTGACAGGTGCTGCCATAAGACGGAGTACACAAGCATCCTGGCACTTTGAAGCGGAACAAGAAGACAAGCAGAAAAATGGAAATAAGAAATGAAGAGTAGAGAACAGTAAGAGTCTGAATTTCAGTGATTCATCTCTGACTATTTTCTAAACTTCCGAGATATTTACAAGCAAGTGCTAATAATTTAATTCTGTCTCCTGGATTATTCATAAATTGTAAAGTAATGCTAATCCACAGGAATATTGTATTATGCGTAGGCCATTTCTGAAGAGGCTATTAAGATGGAGATTACACTTTGTAGTTGCCATCGTTAATATGTTGTTAATGGATAATTAAGATTTAGCAAACAGTTTGCTGTGAGGAAACAGTGAAATAATAAAGCTGTTTAATAACCATCAGTATTGTTACTTGATCCTAAGCTTGTGTAATATAATACAATACAGAATAATGATTTCCAAATGTGATTGTAACTCTATAAAAGAAAAAATCTAATTACTGAGTCCATTATCATTCCCAAATGCTGCTGTCATTCAAACCCATTGGTTTCGCACAGAATCACACAAGCTCTTCTGCAGGTTCACAGCCTTGACAAGTGAGCCACATAAACATTAATATTCATCTACATAATGTTAACAGATTCTCTAATATAGTGTATACATTTATACACATAATCTGCAAGTAGAGCAAGAAAACGGATTTCACTGTGAGAGAAATATTTGCTAAAATTGGTTGCTGAGGGTTATTATAAAGTGTTACCAAGATTGAAATATCTGTTTTTATAGTCATAAAGCTGATACCTGTAAAAACTTCCAAATGGCACTGTCCTCAAGGCTGGTCTCTTGTTTGGTTCAATACACAAGGTAAGTTATTTCATTTGTTTGAATCACTATTGCATGTACAGTTCTTTTCCTTTGTCCCATTACACGTCCACTGGGTATTCTGGGTTTTTACGGACTGGTGCTTTGGACATTTTGCTAATTATGTGCAGGAAACGCAGGCACCTTAATCACCATTAGTCTTTGGTAGACTCGACACTGTGGTGCTCCTACAGAAGACTGCCAGTAAAGTTAAAGAAAAAAGTGGCAGCTTTAAGCCATAACCAGTAAGTGATCTTATATGTTTGTGTGATTTAGAGTATGTGTATACAATAAAGTCACTATGAGTATAATAAAGCTATTCTGACTGCTGCATGTGGTTTCCAAGGTAACAGGTGATGGCAGACTATAAAGCTAAAAAAAACAACTACTCTGTGGCAAAAACAGCAACCTACCTACACGCTAAATGTTTTTTACCACTCAAGAAGTGTAAAAAGTCTGCTGTTACTTGAGTCCCTACTACTAAACTGGTACATTTGATTGGTTAAATTAGTCATACAAATTCCTTTACCCCAATTACCTCCTGATCTCTCACAGGTGCTTAACAGCAGCCTTTCCTGTCCCATTTCCCCTCCCAGCACCCAGATCATCGATTAATCTTTGGGGGAACCAGTAGCGGGGGCCTCGAAACATCTTACCGGTGGCTGCTGAGAGTTGAGCACCCCCCTCTTGGTGGACCCCCCTCTGGAGCTGAGCCTCTTCCACGACTCTGAGAAACGCCCCCTGGTGGTGGGACGTCCTGGCCCAGATGTCCCGGATGCAACAGATGAATCATCCCGGGTGGAGAACGGCCGCTCCCGTCTTAACTCCCTCCGCTCTGCCCACTTCTTCTTGGAAGCCATTAGTGTTAAAAATGTAGTCAACAGATGTGGCAAGTAGGGCAGCCACGCAGACTAGAGGAGGCTGTTCTTGATTCAAACTAGTGCCACAGGTGGCATCTTCACTTCATTCTCAACTACCCACTGAACAGCCCCTGTCTCCCTCTGTTGCCCCCTTTTTCCTTAAGTCTTAAGACTGGGTAAATTTCTGACTCCTGTCTCCCTGTTAATGTCACTTTTTTCTCTCTCTTCTTCTGATCTGTTGCGCAACAGATCTTCACCTGCACGGCTTCGCTCCTGTGCTCTTCTTTCTCTTCTCTGTGTCTTTCCTCTGGCAGGGAGCGAGAGTCAGAGAGGAAGGTGGTGAAGCAGAAGGTGCTGCCTGCACCCTGTTGCATGTGCTGTTACTGTGGCTCAGCCGTTGATGCCGTTTTCCCTCCTCGCAGGGAGAGAGAGAGAGAGTGAAAAATAGGGAAACAAGGCAATAGAAGGGAGAGGGAGAGAGAAAGAGAGAGGGAGAGGGAGGAGGAGGGGGTCAGGGAGTACAATATTCAGATCCGGGTGAAAGAGATGAAATAACAACAAGGAGGAGAGGTGGGGAGAGGAGATGACAGCTAGGCAGGTGGAGAGAGGTTAAAAAAAAAGGCTACCACACAAGGAAAAACGAAGAGACAAGCAAGAGTCTCAGGAGTGCAGGGTTCCTGTTGAGCATTGCGCAGAGCTGCTTAAAGCTGACTGAGAGGCACAGAAACAGACACCCTGTTCAGTAAGTCACTCTCTTACTGTGAACACTGTGCTTTGAATACCCACAGCTACTAAAACCTCCATTCCCTCCCTCTCCTGCTTGTCTTGCTTCCCCGATCTTTCATTCAGCTTGTCACTCTCTCCTCTGTGTGTGGCGCATGTGTGTGTCCCCCGCTTCTTCTTCTCTTTTGGTACTTTATGCACATGGTTTACAGTTCATGGCGCAGCCTTGGCTTCTTTGTTGTAGAACAAAAAGTGTCGCCAAATAAAGCCAAGAGTCATGGTCTCCTTCTTCTTCTTCTCCATCATCATCATCATCCTCCTCCACTCTCACAATTCTCACTCAAAGGCTTCAGAAGTGTTAAAAGACATGCCACGCTGTGGAGTTGACAGACGGTAAGGATTTGAGTCCATTTTTCCAGTGCAGTAGTGAATAAACAGCATGACAGCAAGTCTAATATGCCACAAACTAGATTGTGGCAAAAGGAGAAGAGCACAAAATTATTCTGGGACAAAAAATAATATGAGAGATATAGAGAGAGACGGGAAGAGAGGGATTAAGTAAGATAACGGGATGGGAACGGGGGGATGCACAGTAAAAAGAGGTGACAGTGTCTGAACACCGGGGACATTGTTGCAGTCGCTCCCAGCAACCGCTCACCACCTGGGAGGACGCTCCGGCGTTTACGCGTGCGAGCGAGAGATAGAGAGTCTTACTGAGAAGTAAGAGACAGCAAGGCAGAGAGCCCCTGAAGGATGAGAGGAGGTACAGGGAGCAAGTGAGTGGGAGAGCAGAAGAAGGAGTGAGACCGAGAGACGGCGTCTTTCGGAGCAAAAAACACACCATCAGCAGTTCAGGTCAAACAAATGATGACAACAAAAGGATATTAAAGCCAGCCCTCAATGTTATTGGTGAACAACTCAAAGCCACGCGATGTACATTTTGACAGTTATGACATGTTTGATCAGAAAAGCTAAAAGAAAATGTCAGAGTGTACGTGCTAGATTGTTGGAGTATACCATTGATTCAGTCTTATCAAACAACAAAAAGTTGCTGCACTTCTATAGCTTAAACAATTTGTCAATCAATTTGAAAGTTGCAAGAAAACAAAAAGGCATTCAAGCAGAAATGTCAAAGCCTTCACTGGTCTCAGCTTCTCCTCTTTTATCTATCTACATACATACATAAATCTTACTGGTTTTTATGTTTTATAAAGAGTTTTATGTTATGAATCCGTTTTTGATCATTCAAACTATTAGAGAAAATGACCTGTAGGCTCTCACCAAGAATTTGTATATTATATTGAAAGCTGTGCATAAAACTCTAATGTGCTTTCTTTCAGATCATAAGGAAAATATTTAATAATATTTAGCTCACAGTAAAACACAGCAGGCTGCTTGTTTCAGTGTTAGACTGAATTCAGCTACACAAACGTCTCTTAACAGTTTGATGATTCTGTGTAAATGCACTAAAGTTACGTACACTTAACTAACTTTATTTAGTTAAGCTTTCACATTTTAAAAGTCAACTAAATTAACTTCAGTTTGTTAATTTAATAGTGTTTAGTATTATCTGAAGCAAACTATGACACCAGACATATAAAATTCACTATCAGTGAGTCAGTTAAAGCTAATTTTCACATCATTTTGAAAGGAGGAGTTAAATGAAATCCCATCACAAGGAGCGGTTGGTATAGATAAAGCTAACAAATATGAACGAGTAACCTGCTTAATATAAGTAGTATAATGCACTTTTAAAAAGTTCTCGGTTGTCTTTCTCTTGATTTGATCTTAACTGAACTGTGTAAACTAAACAGCAGCCAGCCTAGATTGCTAGCTGCTGTCTTTGTTTGTATACATAATTTTATCCCAGAGCCAAAACTGACCAAAGTTTCAGCCATGAAAAGCCCAAAGCCTAGTATTTATTTATTTATTTATTTATTTATTTATTGCATTGCTTTTATCTAACCTAACTCAAGAAAAACCAAATATCTAAGCTACATCAGTCCTACTCGCTGCTGAGATTTGTCTGCTTTTTACTGGTTTCAAATGAATGCAAGCTTTGGAAAAATAAATATGACGGGTAATGTAAACATACTGCATAATATATGCAAATATTGATTTATGGAAATGTTATTCCAGGTTATGCAAAAATATATGATATGTAAATGTCTGTTTTAGTGGGATCTATGAATAAAAGATGACTGGAAATGGTGACCTTTTTCTCCTAAAGCAGTAAAAAACATATTACTTTTAGTTTATAAAGAAAAAAATAAATGTTATATTTTGTGCAATGAAAAACAATGGAACCTTGCTTTGCTAAGGTACACACGCCCTGTCTTTAAAGAAAGAAAGGGTCGTAGGCATGTTTTGTATAAACACACTGGATTCATCTGAAATTGAGAGAAGTTGAGTGGATTTAACAAACTTCTACTAGCCTACTAGCCTAGCTCACATCAGCCTATTTCCCCTCCTCCAAAAGTCAGCATTTCAAAATTTAAAAAGCACAGAGTGCCTTCAATTCAAACTATGTAATGTGTTGCAATGTAATACAGAGTAATCACAGAGTTGGCTTTACTTGTGCTTCAGGGGTTCACCAGTTATTGACCGATAAGAAGGGGGAAAAAAACATTATGTCTCCTTTTCCCTGCACACGTTTTAAAATACTTTTTAAAATCAACTGATTTCAGTTCTTGTGCAGCCTGCAAGAAAACTGTTGGAGCAGTCTATAACTTTTGATGGGGCAGAGACATGGACATTACATTTATTATTATTGCATGAATGGAAAAGATCATAACGGTAAAGTTATGACCTGGACAGAAACTGTTCTTCATGCTCCAGTCACACACGGGAAAGTAGTGGTTGAAGATCCTGGCTCAAAAAAATAAAAAAATAAAAATACTGCAACCACGTGTAATGAACTTGAAAAATGGCTGCTCTGAGGGTAAGGATCGGGTTTGTGAGCACCTGTAGTCAGCTTCCATCTTCAAAGCGACTTTGGTTCTTCAAGACAGCCATTAAACAACAATAAGATAGAGACAGCCTGCTATCAGTTGTACATTTATTGTCATCTACATGATCAGAAATTCAAACAGAAATTCATATTAATTACTTGCATTCACAGTCCAGCCGTAACCTTGCAGATTAGAGGTTAGAGAAGGATAGAGGAACACAAATTCCTCGATAAACAGTGACGTAGTTGCTGCAGGAAAGCAATTTAACTGTAAAATGCCATAGGGACTCAGCAACCTAGTTTTTAAACAGGTATCCAACCAGAAGGGAACCAGCTGAATCGATTTATCAATTAGACAATTATTGACAAGCTTTCCCAAATGTGTCTGAGATTGGATGTGTGTCTTCTTGGCTAAATCTGGGCTAATTTAGCCAGTCTGAATCCAACTGTGATTGTTTGAAGACAGGTCGCTCTTCGGGCTTGTTTTTAACTTTTCGTCAGCTTTCTGTTCTTACTTAAACATTAAAAGAAAGCTCTGTGCAGCCTCATTAAGAGGTGGACTGTAGTCTAATCTTCTTTGTATTGTTAACCAGTAATAGCATGGCAGCGCATTTCAAACCTTGTCAGGGAACAAACTGTTCTCTTCAGAGAATAATAAGTATCATTACTTTCTTAAAAAATAAGAAGTAATTTGTACAACACTCAGTCTCTTGAGTAACATTTGCATCGTGTATCCAGACATAATTTGTTTGCACTCAAGTGTTATAAATTGCTATTGCTAAGATTCGGAGTATGCAAAGCATAAGAAAAAAAAAGGAAAATGCACACTGCAGTACTGTGTTCCTAAAAAGAGTAAGAAAATACTCACAAAGACTCACACCTATGTTCTCGGCACTTCTTTGATGTATATAGTTGATTAAAAGGCATGCTATTGGTTAGAAGCTACAACTAAAACCAAACAACAATTACAGTTTTATCTCACAAGAAAGCAAAACTAGAAGGTGAAAATCACTCGAAGAAATGTGAATGAAATGTAACCGTCTACAGCACAAACAGCCACAAACCTGATCTCAGAGGAACCTGACAGCCTACCAGCTCAGTCAGCTCAGCATCCTCTTTGTTTTATTTGGTTTAACGTCCAAGAACTGAGACCAAGATCATACAAACCATTTGACTTTCATTAACCTGGCAGCGTTCTAAACCACGATGGCCTGAGAGAATGAGAAAGGTTTTTTTTAATGTAACTTAAGTGTTAACATGCTGTATGTGGCACCTCTCCATTCTCAGGATTCCTTTTCACATCTTCTCGTTCCTAAGGTTACTAACCTGACAACTATGATCATGTTCACTCACTACACAGTTGCATCCACATACACACAATCCTACAGAGCCGTGTTTTCTGTGTTTTTTCTTGTACAGGAAACTTTACTGATAAGAGTTACTAAGAAATAAATCTTCATATATGGCAGGTGATCACATCTTCTTACACAGCATGAAAAAGATTTAACAACAAAAATTATAAGTGATGTACTAAGTGCTGCAAAAAAAAAAAAAAAAGTAAGATATGCAGAGGACAA